ATGTCATTACCAAGTTGAAAACTCGTTACATTCTCATAACCGAATTACAGTAATTACTTTACTTGAATTACTCAGCAAAAAGCACTTTCGATCTTGGCTATTTGCTCAGATAAAGCTGAGCTGCAATTTATTTAGCGGTGAAGGTATTTAGAAAATTGTATTTAAATGTCGTCAAAATTATAAAAATTGTATCATGAAAAATTTCCCATAATGCGAGAATCACCCATATATGAAAAATATATCACTGAAACATATTAAATCAAGTCCCAGAGTTTTAACTGCCATTGTCGAATGCTTAATTACGATAACAGATTAATGTTTTTATAAAATCTAAACTAACATAAGATCATGAATTATAAGACAATTGAGTCGTTTATTTTCAAAATTGGCCCTAATTATCATTAAAAATTTTTTAGAAGACATAAAAAAAATTTCTATTCCAATTCTAATATCAAAACCAATTAAAAGATGATTTTTTTTATTTGTAGTACATATTTCCCAAAATCATTTATTATTTAAATAATAATTTTAAAAACCGTGAAACCTAAATAGGTAGACTCGTTTTGCTATGAAAAAAGATTTATTGAGATTCAAAGAGCAAAAATTGGGTACGATTTGGGGAAAAGGTTATTAAAATTATACTATGAAAATTTAACTGTTTGTTTATAATAATAGTACTGTTTATAATAAAAAAAGTTTTTGATAAATTATTATTTTTTAAACTTAAGAATTGATAGTATTATTACATTCTCTGAGTACAAAAAAAAAGTTTTAGAAATAAACTAATTTTTCTATTACTTTTTAAAAATATTTAATTTGGTTTTTGAAAAAAAAAAAATGTAACTTTGGATTCATTGGATGTTTTTACATGGTAATCAATTTCTAAAAAAATCGAGTTGGTTCACTATGAAAATAAGCGAATGAACAATAGGCTTTGGAGATGGAGACGAATCAAGCTTAAATGACCTAAACCTAACTAGTGAAAACAGACGGTACTTTTTGTCTAGCGGGCCGCCACTGACTGATATCTGCCAATGTTTATAACCTGAACACTGATAACTCCCATAACGCAGTGATAAGCCTTCTCCTACCTCATATCTTCGTATTATTGTATAAAATTCGTATTATTGAAAGTGTAAACAGATACAAAAACAAATGTAATAACCAAAAAAATAATTTTATTTGACGACACATATATTAATGAAATAATGACACTTTAAGAAGATATGTACATATAAAACATCAAAATGAAATAATAAAAAAAAACAAATGGTCGTTCCCTCTTCTATATTTTCTTTAATTGCTTGTAATAAGGTTGCCTTTCTGTCAATTATTTTGACGATACAAAAAACATACACTGCTGAGGTAAAACTTTCCCCACATGATTTTTTCGTTTAGAAAAAAGACTTTCGTTTACTTCAACCACTTTGCCAGGTCGGTACTTTTTGTCTAGCGGGTCGCCACTGACTGCTATCTGCCAATGTTCCTTTCCTAATTGAAAGTTTTGTGTCACAAGTCTTACGAAAACATCTTCTTTTGGTCTTCTCGGTTAACTTCATTCGATGACCTCGTTCACACAATTTCACGTCGGCAAGTACCCCAACACTTTGAAAATATTGAATTGCCTGTTCTTCTGAAGACGGAAAATCCCATATTCTAAGGAGATCCATAATATGACGAAAATAAACGGGAAAAAATTGTAAAATAAACACAAACGGGACCAAAAACTAAAAATAATGAAAAACAAACACAAACGGGCCAAAAGTAAAGAATTTAAAAAGAGAACGTAATAAGGGAATAACTGAAAACTAAACAATGCAATAATTCAAAGATTTGGCGGGATAAGAAGAGGGAGGTTATGTGACGTGACGTTAGATAAGATAGATAAGAAGTGAGGTTTCAGGACGGCCCGCTAGACAAAAAGTACCAATATTCATACTTAACTTCTTTTGAGAAGAAAAGTAAGATTTTATGAAGGAGTATGAGAAAAGAATAACTCAAATAGTAGCTCTGGAAGGAACCTTATTATGTTATCTGCATAATTATTACATGAATTTATGTATTTCCAATAAAATACTGCGTGATATGTATATCTCTAGATTGTTATGTAATGTTTAATTGGACACGCATTATGTGACTTGGTTACATGTAACACGATAATTAACTTGTTAGTATTCGTGCGATCTATTGGTTATACAACGTCGAGTTATTGATTAAACAGCTTTGATGTGTGCGAAATCACTCTTATTGGTGATTAGCACAGTTCATTTCCAATGAACAGTCATAATGAGTTAGCTTTCAACAGATCATTCTAACCACATTTCAAAAAAAAATTTTAATTAGCCTAAAGCGTTGTTTGAAAAGAATTCGTGAATGATAGGCTGTACTTATCAAGATAGCCATAAGCCGTAGTAAGGTGTATATACCAGTAAGGTGTAGTAGCCCAGAATATTAATTTTGCGAAATCTACACGATATATTATAGGTTAACATAGATCCTTTTTGTAAGGTATCAAACGAAAGGGGATTTCATGAAGATGTGATGAATGCCAATCCACGAGTGGTGGGTAAGACTTGCCTCGGAGTTCTCTAGAGTGAATAAATTTGTTAAGTTGTTAGTTGTTTGAGTTATTAATTTAATTTATTTTTGTTTACATACACTTACTATTAATATTTTCGCACTATTAATTTCAGATATTAATTGTCCATAGAGTGTGAGTCTTCTTGATATCTATAATAATAAAAAAAAAAAGGTTTGGCTTCTATACTCTGTAAGATATTCCTTACTGTACTCTTAATGAGAGAACTATAAACCAAAGCTCTACGGCAGCAAACAAATAGGTCTTTAGTACAATATTGAATTAGAATACGTTAAGGGATAGTTTTATCTTATTGTTTAACTATTAAACTGGAGGGATATTTTCCAACGACACAAGCTAATCACTTATTAACTAAATTGATAAGTTAAATTTTGTGTTGAACAGACTTTCTTGATGATAATATATTGTATGTCTGAATAAAATGTTTTGGTAATGCCGCTTACATATTTAATACATTAAGGAAAAGGATAGCTATCTAATGTGAGAGATCTCAGTTGCGTATAATAGTCATAATGCTATTATGCTACAACAAGTAATGTGCTACACAACGAAAATCGAGTATAGAAAAACCATAAGAAGGTTACAGTGCATTTTTTCGTAACAGATACCGCGTGTAAATATTGAAAATTCACTAGTTAGGTAGTATAAAGGCGGTCGTGAATGTGAGGAATCGTTTACAGTGAAGGGCAGCTATCGATTCTATGTCAAATCAACAACAATAGGATAATAGGGACATATAAATCACTAAAATAGGATAATGGTCCAATACCGCATATCTAAATAGACCAAGTGGGGATTTTACTTATAGAGGTATTGTTTTTAAAATTGGTAATTGGTTGACTGTCGTGGATAATGAAGAGAAGAATAGTTGGGATGGTCAGTCAAAAAGGAAGGCAAAAATAAATGATAATATTTATTTTTGCCTTCCTTTTTGACTGACCACCCCAACTATTCTTCTCTTCATTATTGTTTTTAAAGGTAATCAGTTGTCATGGTAATAACTGATTATAGAAATGAAAAATTTCTAAGAGGCTAAACGGGTACTATACGATTACATGATGACTTGTAACGAGGAGGAGGAAGAACTAGGGGATTATTAAATAAAATACGAAACATTCATTACGGATATTACTTTGAATAATTTAGAGGAGAGAAGCATCTAGAATAAAAGCATACAATAAAATAACTGCATACATACATTTCTTTTTATCTTTTTTTTTTTTAATAATATCATTGGGAGTGGAGGGTGTTTCCTCAGGCGAGGGGCGATCCTGGGATCAGGAGACCTCCTGGGTCTCTATAAAGTGGGTGCCCTTCATTAAATAATTAATTAAGGAGGGAAAACCTGGCGGTTGAGCGTGATCTCAGTCTAATCACCTTCTTGCACAACCGTTGACTAAGAAACAGTGCTTTCCCTAAATAGTACTGAACCCAAGACCCTACATGGGTTGCAGTGGTCAAGGTTTTTTTAGTAATATGCTGAATACACAAAATTTGATAGAAATAGTCTACGTAATAGTAACCGACTAAAAACTAGTGAGAATGTCACGATCAATTTCCCGGGGCCGCAAAAAAATGAAAAATGACCGACCCAGGTGGGAATCGAACCCACAACGTTCAGAACCGGGCACTCTGGGACTCGCACTCCAACATGCTTGGCCATCCAGTCTTCAACCATAACTTTGTAACGATTTTATTAATGATAGATCTATGATAAGACAAACACATATGCCACACAAGAAAAATCCAGTTTAATGAGAGTCACTGAATTCTATCTGATTTTTATAGTTTGATTTGAGTTTTTGAGAAGTGTCAGCTAACACTGAGTTTAATTATTGTTTCTAATTCTCAACATGAACTCTATTCACATTAGACAGAACTTTACGAGTGACGATTAAAACTTCAACGAACATCAAAACTTCATTCTTAAACATTAAAACTTCATTCGGCTTTAAACTATAAAAGTTAGCAACACGAAGTCAATCCTTTGCAACGTTCTCCTCGTCCACCATTTTTGGCTTATAACTGAATAATTTTAATTTATGTTTTGTTTTCGTTCAGAACTCAGCAGAAAAGAATGCTCGTTTTTCAAGAATCAGATGCACGTGGCCAGCTCCAGGGTCAGAGGACCCAATAGTTTTTTTCCTCAAGAACGGCTACAAAGGAAGTTCCGTAAAGCCACACTTAAAAAACTTTTGTTCACAGCTTTTCAAAGAATGAATTAGTTATGGTTTAACTAATAATTTTTGTAAGAGTATTTACAAAATAATCCATATTCTACAAAATAAAAAAATATTTATAAGCCGAAAATGGATAGATAAGTGATTGCAGCCCTCCAGGTATTTTATTATTAACGTTAAGAAACAGGCTTCTTGGCAATTAAAGTCATAAAAATTCTCACCAGCTCCGAAGTTTTGGGCACCTGGGTCATCAATTGGGGTTCCTGAACCTTCTGATCCACCCGCTTCACTATCTGCTCCTCCGGTCGCGCTGGAAAAGAAAAGAAAAGAAATATAGTCAGAATTTATTAGGAAATATAAATTACTATTAACATGTATTTATCTATTGCTGGAATGCCACTACTCCAATGGGACATTGGCATTGTATACGACTTTATACTCGATGGGAAAACCCGATCATTTTTATGTACTCCATTAGAGATTTCATGCCAGCTTCAGAATCTTTCAGTAATTCGCATAAACTATGGCTCCTGTTTAGTTTTTTCCTTGTGGGTGAAGGCAACGATACTCAACCGGCACATGGGTGGCTTTGCAAGCGGTACCACACTTAACATAGTTAGTGTTTTCAAGATAGCTATGTTCGGTTCTCAGGCTGCACAATAATTTCTTACTGCCTTAATGCTCCGCAGCTAATGCTCCATTTTTGAGCCATTTTCTTGTATCTGGAGTAATTTCGGAGTAATAACTAAGCTACATCCCTCTGTGTCATCAGCATGCATTTGGCGTTCCTCGCCTTCCCAAGCAACACAATTTAAATTTTTTACGTGTCTATTGCCGCCGATTTGCGCAGTCTGAGAGCCGATATCACCTATTTCTTTCCCCCTTCTTAAAGCTACATCACAACTCCTTTTTTTCAATTTCCCAAATAAAATGTCCGATTTTGCGTAGAGCTTTGTCGTTTGGTTCTGAAGTGACAGAAAAACAGCCATTGAGCCAGTTACAATAGCTGTCTTTCGGTAATTAGCCACTTAGCAATGCAGACGAGCTTCCTTGATAGCAGACCCTTCTCTTGTACAAACGGAACAACCTCCAGATACTCTAAATAGAAATCGTTAGTTTTCTGCCATGACCCGCATCTTCTACTGGCGAGTTCCTACATCCTTAAGTGTTTTTTAGACGACTTTGTAATGCTGAGCCTTCTCCAAAAGCAATAAAAACAGTTTCTCAGCTTCTATGTGGTTTATCAATTCTTTGCAGGTCTAAGAGAGCGACAAATTGATATTTATATTATACTGGCACCAAAGTAATGTTAAGATAACTATAATTAAAAGTTATAGTTATGTTTAAAGTAATAAATTATGGAGAATTAAAAAAAAATTAATTAGTTTGAGATTTTTTTTTATAATGCGTAAAATACTTCTTTGTACCACAGTAGCATTTCTGCTCGTATCCATTAAGTTTATAAAGGTCAGTGTTATCATAGAAATTTCCAACCAAAGCCTAAGTAAAAAGTCCCGATGAGAGGGGTTGTGAATTTCCTAACCACCTTTAACAAGGCCTTATTCCTATCCTAGACTAAAGTGTAGTAGTCCTCCTGGATACGATCGATCATCATCCAGAAACATAAAATATTGGACAAAACGTCATTAGTAAATGGTAGGTAATCAATAAAAATTTTCTCGAATCATTGCAGGGGCAGTTAAAGCTCCACCGATAAAGTAAAGGTGCAGCCAATCACAAGAGCAATTTGTTGAGGTCACGTTTCCGTAACAACTATGTGACGATAATGCGAACTATTGTAACGATGTGAACTCCCCTCAAATATTTGACTTTGAGACATGATTCTAAAATAAAAAATGGATTCAACTGACAATATCACAGCTAGAAATGAACAAAACTTTAGAACAAATGGTGAGAGAGGCACTGTTACGTCCCTTGATAGCCTTATTAGCCAGCCAGTGCACAAAAATCGAACTGATCGCAGGAGAAGATTTGATTGTAAATTACGAAAGTGTATGTCATTTTGAGTAAAAAGAACCTTGTCTGCCGTTCCAGAGCCGCTGCTTTAAAAAAATGGCTGTGGGTTTAGACATGTAAAAATAAAATTGCTAACGCGAATCACCAAGGGAAATCTTTTTACAGCAAAAAAGTCAGATTTTTTTTTTTTTCCCCTATAACTCTTAAGCTATAAATCACAGCGAAATGTACTCTTTAATAAATCAAAGAAAGCTAAATTGTGCGTCGTATGAGTATAAAAACTTTATAATTTCGTTAAGTGGTAAGGTATAAAACCACGGTCAACCAACTCTGATTTTCACCAAATTTGTCAAAAACTGAGACAAATTACTATAAATGACCTTGCAACCTGAAAATGAATTCTCTAAGAAAACCCATAGAATGCAAAGTTGTAGAGCATCAAATTTTGCATTCAGTAAATTCCAACTAATTTAACTCGTTGCGTAATTTACAATCAAACCTTCGCCTGCGATCAGGTAGATTTTTGGGCCCTGGCTCCAGGGCTATAATACTATCAGGCTTCAGTCTCTATAACATCGGATAGACTTATTTGTAGCAAATATCAATATTATTTACCACAAGACTCCTTTGAAACCAATAAAGAAGATTTTGTATATTGTTTACTATTATAATTAATAAACAATATTATAAATTGTATTAATGTGTACAAGTGATAACTACTCTGTACTTTACAAATTATTTGACATACTTATTGCTGCTAATTGTTTTATTGATATCATTTTTGCAATTAATTTGTTTTGGGAAAATCGGAGAATAAAGGTAAAATACAGGTAGTATTTTTCTTTCTCAAAATTCTTCTCACCTCTTATTTCTCATATCTTTCATATAACTGTAAAAAAAAATCGCCTTCAAACAAATAAATATTACCCAGGGTTTAATGCCTTCATTCCTAAATAACATTATGCCCTGAGCGAGAAAATCCTGTTATTAGTTCCCTGCTTGGTCAATAATGGATTGCGAGGGGGATATAGATGTTATCTCGCAGAAAACCAACCTATTCTGGCCAGAGTGAGACAGAAAATCATTCCGAGAGTCTGCCACAAAATAAATTGCGCCTTAACACTCTCGACCATTATGACCTCATAACAGGTGCTGTGCAATAGAATAATGAATCTTCTGCTAGATATGGCTGCACTGAGGAAAGAGCAGAGCGCGGTCGCTGACCTAGGTTGCTACTGCTTTTGATTTGATTTTCTCTCGTTGAAGTAATAATATAAATATTTTCATCCTCTTCATCTTAGAGCAATTTATATTTAAAAATTAAAATTCTTTATTATGAAAAATCTGAAAGTAATAACTCCATAAATTTTGAGCTAAGCTTATTGGTGGTGCTGCTACTAGCCTAGTTCATTTACGGATCCGATGGCATCGATGAGCTCAACTCTACAATTTTACGAACTTGCTCAAATTATTGCTCAACAAAGTGCTAACTTGAATAAGTTCCAAAGAAAGACATATTTAACGTCAGAATAAATCATTGAACCATTAAAATAATGAAACAAATTGTAGAATATATTTAATAGAACTTATTTAATTATATATTTAATATTTCTTTACTTATTTATCTTTAATTTTATTTTTTTACGTTTGTTTTTATTAGGCCAGATATAACAATTGAATTTTGTACTTTTTTGTAATTCTAAAGGGACTTTGTCCCAGAATAAATTTATTTTCTATTCTATTCTATTATAATAGAACATAATATCCTGAGCATAAACATTTGATTTTTTATAACCTATTATAAATAACAACACGGCTACATAACACAACTTTTAGATTTTAAATGATACAACGGATTGATAAATCGAGCGACAAACTTGAAGCGTGAAACATAATTTACATGATGGAAGCATAAAATGACATCAATCAACTACTACATTGACATTATATTCTTGGGGCAGCTCCTGGCAGTTTTTTATTCCTTAACAGAGGAGTGTTTATTTATGAAGTATATATTGGTTTAATATTTAGAAAAACAGGAGGAGAAAATGGGCTGTTCCATCGACCCACCATCTTTTTATCATTTGACAGCCATTGATATAGTGTAAGGGCAAGATTGTATGAATACCCCTTAATCAAGCAATTTGTTTTCTTTCACAATCTTGGGTAGTTCTTGAGCTAATTTATATATTTGTATATTTATTGTATATTTATAGTTTTGTATATTTATTGATTCGTAGAGGTAACTTAAATTGTATTTACTTTCCCCTTCTTTGTGCAGCAGAAAATAAAGCATTCAATATTAAAATTTCATATTTTGTTCCTAGGAAATAAAAAAAATGCAATTAATGTCTTTATTAGTGATATATGAGTTTTATTAAACAACCCGGAAACTATTCATTACACTCGTATGTAGTTCAGATTAAGTATATATTTTAGTTTATACAACAGGTATTAATATGATTCATTTCTGTGAAAGTATATGCAACTTAAGTTGTTACAAAATAATGTTAAATTGCAAATGATAAATAAAAAATTCAAGATATTCAGCGAAATATTTTTGAATTATGTTGGAATAAAGAAGTAATATTAAAAAAATTTTTAATTTTTTTGGACAGTTAAATTATTGAATTAATATTTGTTCCTTAATATAATCAATATGATGTACCATAAACGTACATCATTTTATGCCTTTGTTAAAGCATTTTACAGAGGACTTTCAAGCGGATAGAATATGCTAAGTTCATTTTTTCATAAAATCTCAGATTTTATTTGCTATTATTTTTTTTGTTTTTTTATTCTCTGACAACTAAGCCACAAACATTCTGCTTTAAGAAAAAAAAAATTCTTGTTTAATAAGCTTCAAGTCTACATTAAGTCTACATTAAGTTGAGGTTTGAGTACAGAATAACTTGAGATTCACCATATTTTTGGCACCCTAAAATATCTCTGGTTTCAGCAAAAATAACTGCAATAAATTATTATAAAACTTTTATTTTATTGATTCTTTATGTGACTTGGGATATATTGCAATAAATAAATTACGTAAATAAACGTACGTAAAGCGCAAGTGGAAATTTTCATTCCGATTAAAAAAAACTTGTTTTAACCTCTCGCAGAAGGGAAAGAAAAATGAGAAAACGAAATTCTGCTTTTCCAAAAATTATCATCCAAACTGAAAGTGTTCTTAACACATTATTGTGAAAATTTATTCTTATTGGATTCAATTATTAAACTGAATGTTAAGTTTTCATGAAAATAATTTAGGCAGTTCTAGATTTCATTTAACTTCTTAAAGTACGCCTTTTAATGGATTTAAGAAACAAGTATTCC